TCGGTAACCGAACCTAAGTGTGTGTGTGGGGGGGGGTGTAGCGGGGTACGTATCCCTAAGTGTACCCTGGTTACATGAAGTGTGACACGTCATACTTCGGGATATTTGTACAAAGTACCAAGGTCGTTCAAAGTCAACCATTGGTTAGCGACATTGCATTTCTATAGGTGGCTTATAGTTTGTATTAAACCCAAGCTTTATCTACCTATAAATATACTCAGTTTACATTCTACCTTAATTAGGTCACTTCGCTCTCTTTTGAATAAAGAGGAGACCTGTGAACTGCCGTTTACTGAGAGTTTGTATACTCTCGGAAGAAAACTTCCTCTAGCGCAAGGTGCTGTGTAACCCCGTCACAGTATACGTTGTTGCCAAAGTCAGGCGTGACATCATCGCTATGCTTGTAATCAGCGGAATCACCAACTTCGTGCATCTTCGACTTGATCCAATCACTTGGTGATAAAACTCGTGAATCCCCCAACTTGGGCTGATCGTATTTATCGACAGATTTCATGTGCTGAACACAATGCTCACTATAAATTTCTTCAATAGACTTGGTCATCGTTGGTTCAGCAACTGCATGTTCAGCAATCACTGGTTCAGCAACTACAGGTTCAGCAACTGCTGGGCTGAAACTTTGCGTGGTGTCGGCACCAATCGCCTTTTGGGTCGCACTGTTGGCTCGTCTTGAGGTGGTTTTCTGGGAAGATGTACTTACACATTGTTTTCTATATATTTAATTTAACCGCTCAAGATGAACTCACTATTATTTAGTTCCTATATATTGAGGAATAAATTTGTCAGAAATAAAAAAAATATTTTGAAGTGATCTGATTGGTTAAAATGAGCGGTGTGTTGCGTGAATGAGTGCTGCTGCTAAGTCGAGAACTTTCCGCACGAAGATGGCAGAGGTCGAGTTGGAGTGCGCGGTATACGGCGAAGGGACTGTGTTTCCCGTGAAGATAGCGAGCAATGCGAAAGTGAGCGCGCTGCAGGAGAAGATCGCAAGTACATACAGAGTCTCGAGCAACCGCGTTGAGGTTTACCCAGCGAGGTTGACGCTCTACTTGGCGCGGAAGAAGGGGGAAGCCACGTGGATGAACCACGACCACACGGTGAAAGGCTTCTTGCGAGGTGGCATCAGCACCGAGTATGAAGAGATGCTTTCGTCGTGGATTCTCGACGAAGATTGCTTTGGGAAGAACTTTCAGCCTGGTCGCAAGGAGATTCACGTGCTGGTGGAACTGCCACAATTGTCGGAAGCTGAGCTGCCTCGAGATCGTCAACTTGTTGTGGGCGACGTTCATATCCCAATCACGCAAAGTATGTCGTTGAATCCGCCAGCACTGGTCGCATTTAGGAAAGCATTTCTGAACGACAGTACCGACGTGAAGGCTGACGCATTGGTCGAGTTACCCCGAGACACGTATCTTCTTGGTGATTCGACACTCGGCTCTCGTACCTACATTCGTCATTGCTACCCTGCGCTATGGGAACTTTGTCTCGAGAGGATCCACGATGAAAAGACGAACACACCGCATCTCGTGATCCTCGGCAACCCGGGAATCGGCAAGACGTTTTTCGGCTATGTGATCGTGCTTCATCTTGTCCGTACTAATGAAACGGTGGTATATGAGAGTGGTGGCCTCAAGAAGCGCTTTTTATTTGCTCACAATGTGGTGGCTCAAGGATCTCAGGAAGATTTTGTGCACATTCTCGACCAGCCGACTACATACTACATCGTGGATGCCGTCAAGCCTGCGTATTACCCAGCGAAGACGATTCTTTTGACGTCGCCGCGCCGCTCCATCTGGTACGAGTTCAACAAGACCAATTGCCAGTCCTGCTACATGCCAGTGTGGTCTTTGAAGGAGATTCTACAATGTCGTAAGCTGATGTACTCGGATACACCTGTGGACGTCGTGCAGAAGTGCTTTCGTCGATGGGGTGGTATTGCTCGCTATGTCTTGCGATTTTCACAAGTTGGTGATCAGCAGGTATTGCTTGAAAAAGCAATGAACATTGTTAATCTCGACTGGTTGGTGAACGCCTGTAGTCAACTTGATGCGAACGAGGCTCAAGTGTCGCATCGATTGCTGCACTATCGCGTCAGCAAAGCTTTTGACAGCGAGTACTTCGTTTTTGCATCGCAATATGTTCAGCAAGAAATGTACAATCGTCTGCTCAAGAAGGATAAGCGGAAGCTGCTAGAGTTCATTGCTGCCTCGGATGGATTTGGTGCTCTTGCTGTGCTTCGTGGCCACTTGTTCGAAGGGCATGTGCATTCGGTACTGCCGCGAGGTGGAACGTTTAAAGTTCGACGTTTGGTCGAAAACAACGAGGCGTACGATTGATGACCCTATGGGAGATGAATGGGACGGCGATGACGAGGATGGTGATGATGGCATGAATGAAGATGATGCCGTTGCGATGGAAGAATCCAATGCTGTGGCGTTGGTCGACGGTGGCGCCGCACCTGTCATTTCTTTTCAGAGATTCGAGAAAGTTGTCGTTTTCAATGATGACAGTGAAATTGAAGCTGCTACTAATACGAGTTACCTACAGCCAGCGGTGAAGAATTACCAGTCGGTCGATGCGATTATCAAGCCGGATATTTTGCTCCAGGTGACAGGTGCACACAAACACCCCTGCAAGCAAAAAGGTCTCCACGATGTGTTGGAGCTTCTGGGAAATCCTGCAGCACCGCGGCTGTACTTCGTGCTTCCGCCTGACAGATTCACCGATTTCAAATATCAAAAGTATCTGGACTCAAAACGCAAGAGGATGATGGCGCCAAGCTATGAGAACGTGTGCAAGATACAGCAGTTTGCGATGGAAGTCAAACTTGAATCGGAGTAGGTGTGCAGTTCCGAGGTTCCAAAACCGCGTTCCGAACCGGTTCCAAAATGATGCCGTACTTCTTTGGTCCAGAAAAGAATTAACAATGAGGTTTTTCTTTAAAAAGCCTCGCATGTTTGATTGGTCAATGTCCACTCTGAGATGGGTTCGATTGGTTAAAATGAGCTCATATGAGGATTTGTATGCACGCGGATCGAGAGGAATTGACACAAAAATGGATTGAATTGCTTTTAGTGATATACCACTAGATTAAGCTTTATTTGCTTTTTTCTAGTATATTTTAAAGTTTAATTCTGAGGTGTGTTGAGTTGTTTTCCTTTTGGATTATTTTTGACGTCGAAGCGAAAAAAAAACTCTACCCTCCATAAAGTGATAGTTCAAATGGTCAAATTTGGCGGGAAATTTGATCATTAAAAAATCGTGCTGATGCTGCGTAAGTAGATAGAGCTTTCAAACTAGCTCAAACACGCTTCCGTTGAAGCTGTACGACCAAAGTTATCGCCGATTTAAAGAACTGGTAATTCTTTTTCGGATTAGACAAGTACTTGCTAGAGCTGCTGTGGTGCTTCAATTCTATAGTGAATTGCAATTATATGTGTTAATTGTGAGAACCCTGTTTCCAAAATTTTCGGAACCAAATTTTAATAACTAGAAGGGCTGTGGTTACATTGACATCTTCCGTTGGTGCTCGGGCTCCGAGTTCTTATACTTTTATATATAAACATATAAAATTTATAGAGAGAGGGGGTAAGGGGTAGTATAGAAAGAACATATAGAGAGACAGTCCTGCGTTTTTTTTGTGGAACTTGGGAACTCGGTCGGTGTATGAAATCTACCATGATCATAATAGTTAATGTTACGTCGGTTCGGTGACATGGAACCGGTTCAGGTCATGTTTAGGAACTTTACGCACTTCTCAATATTAATAGCTACAATCACTCTGGTAATCCCTCGTTTAAAGTGCCGATCGGGGACAATGTACGAGAATTCACATTAGAATTGCGCGAACTCGCGCGTTCTTTCTCCGGGCGTACGCTAGTGGACGGACTGCATTGATTATGTTACATCGTCCGCTCAACCTGTCCATAAAATGGCATCTAGAGTACCCCTAGCCGCCCTTAGATACAGCGATGATGTACCATGTAGTACAGTATTAATACGCCACTTCACGCAAGAATCGAAGCTCTGAAGACACTCAAGGACCATTATCGGAAGTGGACGGAGGCTGTCGCCGCCTCGTCCCCGTCCTGTCCCTCACCACGTCCCTCTGATATCCGAATTATCGGAAGTCGTCACTTACAATAACAGCCGTTATCCCAGCGAACGCTCCATCAATCACAATGCATAAAAGAAAAGAGTGGTGCAGCACCAATATCGAAGAATAGAATAACAAAGGCAGCCAGCAGCAAGAGCCTTTTGCCCCGAGGCCATGAAGCAAGATAGGGTCGCAAGCTGCGGCCCGCATCACAAGAGAGGCGACGCCCGGACTGTTTTGCCGTATGAGGGAGGCGATGCTTGGATAGTGTACGCTGTGCTGTCGTGTGAGGGAGGTGCTGACCCGTAGATGGTATTGAAAGGAGGATTCTGGGTTTGAGTGAGCGTTGTGCTGAACATGGTGGTGCGTGTATGGGACATGCGCAGAATGACGCGTGAATGCTAGGTGGAGTGCAGTGTTTTGATATGCTAAGCTATTGTCCGAGTGTGGTGATACCTGTACAAGGATAAGAATAAGCGCTAGAGCGTATGAAGAAGCTACATGAGGAAGAAACTCCGGAGGGAACGACACGGTAAGCCTACGGCAAGATTAAAACGAGGGAAACAAAGATGAATGGGCAGATGACTCGCTAGTGGAAAGGTAATGCATGCGTAAAAACCTAGTGAAGAAATATCTAATACGAAACACTCACTTGTGACTGCGATGTATTTAGTCTTATGTAGTTTACAGTCTCCAATTGAAGCTCTCACTCAGTGCGTTGAGGGTATGTTGTGACTGTTTGCGCTGAGCCAGACTGCTTCATCTTCATAAACTTTCTATTCCTGTGCGGTCCGATTAACTCGAATAATAATTCTTTTGCGCCTGAAGTAGAATCGTTTTTCGGCTGGATTATTACGCCAATTGGATCCATGTAGCTTCTTCAATTCGCGTACAGCAGGACCACCATTAATTCCCGTCGTCCACTCCTGCCATACTAGATGAACCGTTTTGAGAGATCTCGTGAGCTTGTACGTCGTGGGTAGCTGCGCAGCTGGAGCCGAGGTTGCAGTAGTTGGTGTGTTCAAGTCCAAGGTCAAACGTACGGTGGCGGCACCAGAGGTAAGCTGTGAAATCGTATTCTTAATGTGATTACCGACTTCGCTAAGTTTGTTATCAATGTGTGCCAGTGTTTGTTCTTGCTGCTGTCTTAGATGCCGCATTAAATCTGGGATAACGTCATTCAAATGATCCGCTTGCGGTGATTTCTCCGTGAGCATTTTGGTTTTCAGCTCAGCTGCGAATGGGTTAAACTCGCTGCAGCTAAATGGAGAAGGTGAGCCCATAGTTTATGGGTCGGGTGAAGGTCACGCAGCAGATCCGCGTCCTGTACGACAACTATACGAACGTACAGTAGTAACTCCAAGAAGCCCCCGGTTGCTACGTTGGGTGCTGACTGTTGTTTGTATGACGCATATAGTCATCGACAAAGGGAAAGACGCCACGCTGAAGCTGCTCAGGAGGAAGAAGAGCTGTTCGCTCTAAGAAAAACGACCGTTTGTCAGGGGGGAAATCCTGCTAGAGACCGCATCGCTTCTCGTGGCAAAGCGCTCAGGTAACAGCCGTCCATTGCGGATGCATTTCACCTTCCTAACCGACGAATTTGTGAATCTGTAGCACCTGCTAATTCGGCCATCCTTGCTCCTGAACCCCGTGCCGCATGTGTCTTAGCCTTCGTATGCATGCCTAATGCTGTGAACGCCTTTATAGTGGCGTCGTAATGCGATCGGTATTTTATTGATTTTGTTGGATTCTTGTTTGACTTTAGAAGTTTGTTGTCGTACCAGTCTTCAGGGGCCAGAAAGTTAGGTAGCACTTCCATTTGCACACACCAGCGATAAAACAGATACAGAGTGAGTGCCCCAACTGGGCAAACTTCAACATTGATGTGCCTAATACACGAACCAAACTCACGACGGCCGAACTGATTTATTTCCCCCTGCTCCATTATCATGACTAGTGCCCGGCAATCTGTAAATCCTTCGTGTTCCAGAATCACACTAAAAAGGTCAGGTAACTCCAAATTACGGGAAAGACTCGCCTCTTAAGAGACATGCGTGGCACAGGAAATGACTCATCCGATTCCGTAGATCAGCACCCCATATAATAACGAGAAATTGCAACCAGATCGGCTGTGGTGCAGTACCCATCCAGGAGAGATCCGCAAGCCTCGGTTAGCATATTAGCTTTTTTTCCGTGTTTTTCTCGCTTCAGCGTTGAACCTAGTGCTTTAATCCAGCTGTTGCGTGGATGAGGGAGTGAATTCACACCTCTAGTCTGCTGATCGCTGTACAAATCTGACATAGCGCTCACGTACATCTCTACAGTAGCAACTCCAATCTTTCGCTGTCAATTTTTGACACGAACTTCGCAATCTACCACTTCTTCACGTAGAAAAAGATGTAGCTTCGATGCCGAAACTTGGTAGCGTGTAGTTTCATGAAATTTCTTGCGGTCACACCATGCCTTGAGCCTCGCGCTGTTTTGGCTCGTACGCTCGAACTGTATTTGCAGGGCGGGATTTACGACACCGGTCCAGCGTTGCGTGGGCACTCTCTTCGAGCTCCACCTGAAGCGATGGTGGCTCCGTAGCACCTCTACACCTAGATCCAGAAATGGAACTATTGCCTCTGTACCAGAAAAATATCTACCTTCAAAGCTGTAGTAGATACTTTTTATGGCATTTGGAAGGTTTTGACTATTCACGCTGAAACGTTTTTACTGAGGGACGCCGTCCTCCATACTTAGAGCATGTGAGTAAGAAGACACCTAGCCCTAGAAAGATAATCATTCATTACCGTACTGTACATCATCGCTGTCTTTAAGGGCGGCTAGGGGTACTCTAGATGCCATTTTATGCACAGGCTGAGCGGACGATGTAACATAATCAATGCAGTCCGTCCACTAGTGTACGCTCAGAGAAAGAACGCGCGAGTTAGCGTAATCCTCATGTGAATTCTCGTACATTGTCCCCGATCGGCACTTTAAACGAGAGATTACCAGAGTGATTGTAGCTATTAATATTGAGTAGTGCGTAAAGTTCCTAAACATGACCTGAACCGGTTCCATGTCACCGAACCGACGTAACATTAACTATTATGATCATGGTAGATTTCATACACCGACCGAGTTCCCAAGTTCCACAAAAAAAACGCAGGACTGTCTCTCTATATGTTCTTTCTATACTACCCCTTACCCCCTCTCTCTATAAATTTTATATGTTTATATATAAAAGTATAAGACATCGGAGCCCGAGCACCAACGAAAAATGTCAATGTAACCACAGTCCTAATAGTTATTAAATTTTGGTTCCGAAAATTTTGGAACCAGGGTTTCCTACAATTAACACATATAACTGCAATTCACTATATAATTGAAGCACCACAGCAGCTCTAGTAAGTACGGCATCATTTTGGAACCGGTTCGGAACGCGGTTTTGGAACCTCGGAACTCAACAAAAACCTCCACTGAGGTTATTTTGAAATTGTTCTCAGTCAAGCAGAAGCATGAAGGAAGCGCGCCAGGTAAGCGACGATCGCGTAGCGACGCCCGACTTAATTAATTTTAATTCTGAAAATATATCGATCAATATATAGAAACTATAAAATTGGAAATCCAGTTTGAGAAATAAAATGATTGGCCGGGTCTACAGAATCATCCTTATTGAGAATGACCTATGCTATATTGGCTCTACTATCAACAATTTGTCATGGAGGACACAAAAATAATTTTCGAAGCTGGGTCGAAGGCAAGCATACACAGATGTCAATCTTTCCATACTTCAAAAGCCACGGCATCAAAATTCAAGATCACTCTCGTGAAGAAGTATGAGGTTGTAGACAAACAGCATCTTCAAGCATATGAACAACTTTACAAGGCAAATTTAGAAAAACAGCAGTAAATAAAAACAATGCGTTTGCGATAGATCAGCTGCGAAAAAAAGAGTATCGAAAAGATAACAAAGAGAAATTCAAGGCCTACAATAAAGAATACTATAGGGCAAATAAGCAACGATGGGATGCAATAACTAAAGCCCGACAAGCAGCTCGATCCAATTGTGAATGTGGTGGCAAATATTCTGCTGCAAATCACCATGTTCATGTTCGATCGAAGAAGCACAAGCGGTGGCTAGAAGAACAGAGTGCTTAGACTATGATATTTTGTTTTACTTTCTCCAGGTACATATAAACAGTCATGAATCACTCGCGTCAATCTTATCATAAAGATACCAGAAGTAATCGTCAGAAACGACGTGATGCCAATCACCAGCAAATGATACGAAATTTTGCTAATGCACGATGCGTGAAGGAGGAGCAACAACAACGAATTGAGGATCCAATTGCATATATTTTCAATGCTTAAGATAGATTTTTTGTAACCCTGGCAATTTGTTTTAGAGATATAGATAATAACAATGTGTTGATAACCATGGAGACCGATACGCGCTAAGCGTCACTCATAGAAGCGATACATGAACAACATGAAGATAATAACATCGTTTCTACATTATCTTAAATATATTTCAGATAAATATACCTAGAAAGTGGACATTCAATACGTTGATACAGCTGATGAGGAGCCGGTCGTTATTGATGATAATGATGACAAAGTTTACACTCCAACAATCGCACCAATCAACGTGAAGCCATTTACATTCGACACTGATAAGGTGAAGTCTGATGCGAACATTCGAGAGAAGACCTTGAGTTTGGTGATGGCGAATATGAACCAGTCTTCGAAGTGAGGTATTATTTTTACAAGACCTGCAGGCGCTTCAATTCACTTTTGAAGTTTCCAATCTATTAATCTTATCGGTGCTATCGCTCATAGCTGTAATCGCTCTGTCACGATACACGATATAAGTTCCGCGTTTCATAGCGCAAGGGCAAAAAAATACGATGCGTTGCTCAGCGATGGCAGAGTCGTGTCGTTTGGAGCAATCAAGTCTAATGGTGAGCCCTATCAGCAATATCAAGATCGCACAAATTTAAAAGCATACCGTGACTATGATCACAAAGATACAAAGCGAAGAGAGCGATACTATAAGCGACATGGTCCGATTGATGATCAACATCCTTACACTCCCGATTGGTTCTCGAAAAACTATTTATGGTAGCGATCATGCAGCAATATCTGTATATACAGACTAAATATTCTAGAATATACAATCTAGCCATACAAGACTATATTGACAATTATAGATATGAAGTATACAGCCGCTTGATCGCTTGATCGCTGGATTTAAGGGTTTTGACTTTGTCGGAGAGCCCACGCGCATTGAAAAGATGATTGAATCTCAACAAGAGCGAATTCAAAAATCTCAAAATCAACTCAATCTCATCAATCGCGAGTTTCTGCCTATTGATATTGAGAGCCTAACTCTTGCATAGTTTATATTACAGATGTCATTATCCGAGCTGCTTGAATAGTTTGTAGAACTCGTCTTCTTTTCCATGCTGCAAATAGTAGAGCCATAAGATACAGAAGCCATCACAGTGCCCGAAGCGGGGGTCTTGGATATCAATTTCCATTTCTTATCACGGAAGAGCGTTTCAGCTGGAGCTGGTTCGACGAAGTGCTCGAAAGCAGAGATATCACTTGCGGTGGACATTGTATAGTACGAGATTGCTTTATATTGGGCAAGATATAGATCTTCAGCAAAAACATAATATGAGCGAAAAGAAAATTATTAAATTATCTCGAACAACAGATGATCAACTAATGAAACTCGCTACTTCGCTTGGGGTAAAGGTAGATCAAATCGATTTCAAGCGAAATCTTGGTAGAAGCAAAGATTATGCAATAATCAACATGGGCAATCCAACTATCGGAGACACACATTGGCTGGCAGTCTCAAACAAAGACAAGCGCTACTTCGATCCTCTTGGTCTTCCAGACACGCGTTATTCCCAAAGACTATTCTTATTCAAATTCGACCAGTAGCACTGGTCAGTACGCTGGTCCATTTCAATTCAACCTATCCACGATCTCTTCTCAAGCTGCGTTTGTCAACTGGGAAGAGGCTGTCATTTAGCTTCCAATCAAGCTTCAGATTCTCAATGCTGGCGGATATTCTGTTACCTCGACGGCTGCCTGTACCGTTGATCAGCTTGTTCCTAAGGCAGATGCCTGGCAATTCATTGATTCCGTTCAAGTTGTTGTAGATGGCGTGACCGTTCAGACGAATCATGTTCATGAAAATGTGAATGCTACGTTCAAGGCGCCAACCGAATGGGACTACAGCTCCTACATTAAACGAGGACCAAGGAGCAACTTCGTGCTAGATGAATATCGTCTACCAATTCCCGGAGTCGCCCAAAATCTTGACAACATGGCAACATCCAATTATATTAACGGCACCGTTGGCGAATGGGGTCTTTTTAACACATTTTCGAATGTAGGTGCGTACGAACGATCGCTATTCACCGCGCTTGATCAAAGCAGCGGTAAACTTGCATATGATATCATGGGATCTAATGCCAGTATCCAAGCTGTGTCAAAGCCGCACGTATACGTCGCGCCAGCTGGCGCCGTTGCTGCCCGGTGCTCAATTTTACGTAGCTCATATTTAGCCTGCATTAAGCTCTCTGACTTATCCGACTACTTCAAGAAATGTACAATGCAAAAGAACAAGAAGGGGTTCATGTATATCAAATATAACTGCTCTGCTACGTCAATTACCACTGGTGGATCAGCAGGTACGGTTGCAGCAACGAATATTGCTAGCATCAACAGCAATATGAACTTCGGCAACACTTGCCCAATTCTATGGAATGGTACATCCGCAAATATAACCAACACTGGCGAATCAAGTGGTTTAGCTGTTCCAGGATCAACAAATTTATTAGTCACAGCCGATGTTAGTGGTACTGCAACTTTGGGAAGTGGTATTGCTACATCGCAGACATTCTCTCGTCTACTGGTTCCAACGTATAGCCCAAATCCATCAGCTGACAACGCTCTCATCCAAAAGAAGACGTTTCGTTACTTTGAACGTGTAATCAGCAAGTTTGCAAGTTTACTGTCCAATCCGGTCAGTCATTTTCATGGACGGTGACGAATGGTATTGCCAATCCGAAGAAATTGATTATGCAACCTGTTATTACAAATGTAACTCCTGGATCAAGCTCTTTACCAGATGTGATCAATCCATTCCGTAGTTGCTTTTCAACGATGCCAGCCACGACGAGTCCTTATGCAGCTTTAAAAAATATCCAAGTAACGGTGGGGTAACGTCCCAATTTGGAATAACTCTGTCAACCTCGGCTACGATCTATTCGTACAAGAAATGTCAAAATCTGGCGTTGATGGTGGCCTCAATGATGTCACTAAGGTTGGCTTACTGTCTCAGCATCTATGGGAATCACTGTACCGATTTATTGCTGTTGACATTG